ATTCACTGATTATTGTCATGCATGTTAGATATTATAAAATGATCATCCAGAAATGCTACCTCTGCTTAGGGTAAGACCTGCAAGATTGGCAGGGCCGTCTTTAATATTGATTGGACCCTGGGCAAGCATCTGCTTGGGCCCCCTGGGCATGCAATCACTCCCTCCACCCCAACCTAGAGGCGAAACTAATGTAGAGAGTGCCTTGCCTGCCCTGTAGCACAAGAGTAAAGAAAATATAGATCCCCATCTGTCATACAACTCCTGCGATGCTATGCCAGGTGGGGATCTACCATCCTTGCAGGGTTGTATTTTTGAGCAGTGTTTGTGCAATTGAATGTCAGCATGTTATTGTATAGAGTGTATGTGTGCATGTAGGGGTGTAGTAGGGGTGTATTTGTATGTACTGTTACCATTGGAATGCAGTGGTGTACTTGTGTGTAGTGTTTGCGTTTGAATGCAGTAATGTGTGATTGTCTGTAGTGTTGGCTTTTAAATGCAGGTGTACTTTTGTGTGTAGAGTTGGTGTTTGTATATAATTTTACCATAGGCGTGCGCACGGGGTGTGCCGGGTGTGCCTGGGCACACCCTAATCCCGCGGCACGCTTATGCATATTGAGACCGGCAGGGGAGATCTCAGGATCTCCCCTGTCGGCTCATGCAGAGCCGGCGCTATCCGAGCACCGGCTCTGCTCTCAGCCTCCCTCCCCACCGACCCACATGCAGGGAGGGAGGCAGGAGAGGACCCGGCGGAGCTATTGCCGGCAGCTCCGCCGGTTTCCTCTCGCGAGATATGAGCGTTGCCATGGCAATGCTCAAATCTCGCGAGAGTGAACTCTAGCCCCACAGGGGTTAGAGTTCACTCTCCACTGGACCACCAGGGAAAGCAGCAGCACGATCCCCCCTCCCTACAAAAGGTAAGAAGGGAGGGGGGATAGCAATTAATGTACCCCCACCTCCACCCCCACAATCACCCACACACACATACAGCACACACATTCAGCACCCACACACATTCAGCACCCACAGACATACACAGCACCCACAGACATACACAGCACCCACAGACATACACAGCACCCACAGACATACACAGCACCCACAGATATACAGCACCCACAGACATACACAGCACCCACAGACATACGCAGCACCCACAGACATACGCAGCACCCACACACATACGCAGCACCCACACACATACAGCACCCACACACATACATAGCACCCACACACATACAGCACCCACACACATACAGCACCCACAGACATACACAGCACCTACAGACATACACAGCACCTACAGATATACAGCACCCACAGACATACACAGCACCCACAGACATACAGCACCCATACAGATACAGCACCCACAGACATACAGCACCCACAGACATACAGCACCCAGACATACAGCACCCACAGACATACAGCACCCACAGACATACAGCACCCACAGACATACAGCACCCACAGACACAGCACCTTGGCTGACATACAGCACCCACAGACATACAGCACCCACAGACATATACAGTACCCACACCCATTCAGCACCCACACACATTCAGCACCCACACACATTCAGCACCCACACACATTCAGCACCCACACACATTCAGCACCCACACACATTCAGCACCCACACACATACACAGCACCCACACACACATACAGCACCCTCACACACACACAGTACACTAACAGTACCCTCACAAACACAAACAGGACCCTAACACACACACAGCACACTACCAGTACCCTCACACACAAACAGCACCATCACATACAGTACATTAACAGCACCCTCACAAGCGCACACAAACACACACAAACCGCACCCTCACACACAGTACATTAACAGCATCCTCACAAGCACGCACACACAAACACCCTCACCCACATAGCACACTACCAGCACCGTCACACACACATCACACTAACAGCACCCACACAGCAGTGTGTGTGTGTATATATATATATATATATATATATATATATATATATATATATATATATATATATATATATATATATATATATATATATGCGGTGTGTGCTTGTGCTTTAGGGTGCACACCCTAATGCAATAGTCTGCGCACGCCTATGAATTTTTGCGTTTTAATACAGGAATGTGTTTGTATGTAATGTTTGTATTTGCATGCAGGGGGTTGTTTGGATGTAGTGTTGTGTACATTTGTGTGTAGTATTGGTGTTTCAGCAAACTGGTGTGTTTGTATGTAATGTTTGTGTTTGCAGGGCTCTGTTTGCATGTTGTGTGATTTCTATAACACATATACACATACACATTAACAAGCAGAAACACACATAGGCACACTGACACATGCTCACACCTTAACACATACTGGCACATACACGCACACACACTCAGATACCCACCCTTTGACACACAGATACAAGCACTTTGATACACACACACACACTGGCACATCCATACACAGAGGTACACACACACACTGACACAGGTATGTACACACACACTCAGATACACACATACATAAAGGTATAAATGCAGGGGTGTATATGTGTGCAGTGCTAGAGATGGAGTGTATTTGTGTTGGCATTAAAATGCTGGGATGTATGCATTACCACACACTCAGATGCACACTTACACACACTGACACATACATACATACATACATACATACACACACACAGGTACACATACACACTGACACACAAGTACACATACACAGGTATACATACACACAGAAACACTGACACACAGACAAACACAGCCAGATACAAACACTGACACAAACACAGCCAGATACACACAAGGACATAAACACAGCCAGATACACACACACATGTGTACATTTACATATTTTAATCTCTGCCTTCTAGCAGCTCTTGGACAGCAACTCACAGCAACCTTGGCCATAATAATGTCTCAACTCTGTTCTTACATACCCTGGTCCAGAATTTGGCAAAAGTGACATTTGGAAATGGTATACAGCCTTTGATAACACTTGATGCAATAATATGTTAAAATAAATACTTTTAAAATTTATATTTAATAGGGAACTGTCAGGTTCTTCTAGGATTTTTAACATGTACTTATTCCCTGTGTGTTACATTAGAAACACCAAAAGTGATATCAGAAATAAGCAAAACAAAACATATATAGCCACCCTCCTGTCTCCTTACCTTTTGGGTACAGAAAGGTGGCTTCCCTGGGGTCCAGTGGGAGCTTGTTGGCCCAGGCTGACGGGAGTCTGCCATCAGCTTTCTCAGTCCCTCTCCCCAACAATGCTTGCATCCTCCTCCGTGTGGTGTGTGCCTCCTCCCCAGCGGCACTGAGGAGGAAGTGATCTGACCTCACTTCCTCCCAGCATGCCACGGAGAAGAAAAGAGATCACAGGGCAGTGTGTGAGGGGCTAGCTGTGTGTTTGTATTCAGCCAACCCCCATATTACAAGGGCCCGGTCCAGAGCAGTATTAAAGGGCTGTGGCCCCTGATTACCTCAGGTGCGGCAGGGGGCCCATGGGGCAGCTGCCTTAGGGCCCCCAGGAGTAACTGGGCCTGGGGCAGCTGCCCCTTTTGCCCCTCCTTAAAGATGGCCCTGAAGATTGGGTGCGGTGAGTCCTGGTGTAGCTGTTTCAATATTGTATGGGGCCCAGGCTAAAAAGGAGAGAATCTAGAGTTAGATAAGACAGATTGTGGGCGGAGAATCATTGAGGTGTTCAAAACAAAATCAAGGGGAAAAAAAAAATCAGATGAAAGGGAGGAGACGCATGATCTATGCGAATATGCTCAAGCCCTACCATGAGCGTATGGAGGATGTGGCGGCTATCTTTGCCCCAGCCTCCGAAGAGTTTGAGAACCTTTTCTTACCAGACCTCCTAGAGAAGATGATAGGTGTCCTTGGAGCGGTACAATAAGGGGAGCGGCTGAGCCCTCAGGAGCGTACCCAAGCCCAGGAGTTGATTACGGCTAAAGAGGCCACATTCTCCAACCTACCTGGGTACACTCCTCTGGCCACTCACCACGTAGAAACTCCAGATCAGTTGCTGTAACGCCAGCCTCCCTACCTCCTGGTAGACGGCTGCGTTGACCCTGGACTTAAAGAAGCACAGTGGACCAACACCAGCAGATGACATGGCTCCCCAAATCAACACAGACTGTGGAAACTTCACACTGGACTTCAAGCATCTTGCAGTGTGTGCCTCTCCCTTCTCCCTCCAGACTCTGGGTCCTTGGTTTCTAAATGAGATGCAAAAGTTGTTCTCATCAAAAAAGAGGACTTTGGACCACTGAGCAACAGACCAGGTCTGTTTTTCTTTAGCCCAGGTAAGACACTTCTGATGTTGTTTGTTGTTCAGGAGCGGCTTGACAAGAGGAATACGACATCTGAAGCCCATGTCCAGGATCCGTCTGTGTATGGTGGCTCTTGAAGCACTGACTCCAGCCTCAGTCCACTCCTTTTGAAAGTCCCCAACACTTTTAAATGGCCTTTTTCTGACAATCCTCTCCAGGTTGCGGTCATCCCTGCTGCTTGTGCACCTTTTTATTCCACACTTTTCCCTTCCACATAACTTTCTATTAATGTGCTTTGATACAGCACTTTGGGAACATCCAACTTCCTTTGCAATTACCTTTGAGGCTTTCCCTCCTTATGGAGGGTGTCAATGATGGTTTTCTGCACAACTGTCAGGTCAGCAGTCTTTCCCAATGATTGTGATTCCTACTGAACCAGACTGAGAGGCCATTTAAAGTCTCAGAAACCCTTTGCAGGTGTTATGGCTTACTTAGTTGATTAGAGTGGGACACTGTGAGCCTCTTATTGCACCTTTTCACAATATTCTAATTTACTGAGATTGTGGATTTGGGATTTTCATGAGCTATAAGCCATAATCATCACACTTGTGACAAATCGCGGCTTGAACTATGCTGTTCAAAGCTGGAGAATCTGGTAAAACTTGCAAAGACTACCATGCCTTACATTAGGTAGCGTGCTGAGTGGGGACAGTGTGAAGCCACTGACATTAATCCTACTAAACACAACTCGCACTGGCTTGCAGATAAACATAAACAACTAACACACTTTATACAGTCATCCAATTTACTCCCAGCAGGTCACCGCAGCACTATGACTAAGTTTGAAACTCTGTGCTCTGTCCAATAACTAAAAAGCAAGCATATTTCTACTATGTACAACTTTCAACACTCTGCACAACAAAAGAATACCCCTATTTATATAGAAAAATTGATGCAGGAATTACAAATCCCCATTTCTCCAGACGACAGGAAAAAAAAAAAATCTTGCACCAGATACACAATCTGTTAACCTAAGCACCAAGGAAAACAACTATAAACACCTCACTCAGTGGCATTACACGCCAGCTAAACTACATGAACTTTACTCACACACATCTGCTGGAGTCCTCAACCATTGGCACATTTCTCGCATATTTGGTGGCAATGTACTACCATAAAAAAACTATTGTAACAGCACCCCCAAGTATACGAAGGGTTAACACCATTTAGGATGCTCCCTTTCCGAATGCCAAGGCAGCTAACGAACACTCCAATCAGCCGAACAGGAATCATACGAACACGTCAAACAGCCGAACAGTAAATCCATATGAATAAATCCCCCCAAGTACGAGACAAGGAGGTATTGAGGGTCAAGCAGTGAACTGGTTTAATGGGGCTACCTGCCCGGTTTTTATGCAGGTCTTCCACCAGGTGGACACTCCCCTAGGGGAACTGGTGGAAAACTGTGAAAATAATAATACAGTAGCCAATCACAAGGTTCCAGACTTAAACACTCCCCTTTAGTTGTAAGGGACCCTCCTCTCTATCCTGGAGATAATTGAGAAGTAATTCAATTATCTCGGAGGATAGAGGCAAAAGTCCATTTTATACATGGTAGACAAAACACATAAAAATATATAACATGAAAACTACCGAATGCACTAGATACAATTAACATATCCCCAGATAGCTTAGATCTGAGCGCACATTATTACCGAATAGCATTCAGATCACATACATACAGTTCAATCACCATGGAGCCAAAGTCTTTCACATAGTCCTTCGTTATACGAATGAGCTCCATGGCATGGCTATCTGGGGTAAGTCCATTCGTGCAGAAAAGTACCGAACATACCGGAGTTCGTATGATGGGGAAATAAAAGGGGTTGGCGGCTTCAGCGGTGTTCGTGCAAAATAGTATCAGTTTTTAGTTCCATGAAATCGACGAACACCACTGGACATTCGTATGTCCAAGATGGACACTGCCTCGTGTTTGTTATACGAACGATGACCACTCAGCCTACATTTGACAATTAAGAGGTGTCTGCGGTTAACCACAACGTTCTAATGAGGCCAAGAGGTTAACCAGCAGCACACTTCCGCCAACCCCTTTTATTTCCCCATCATACGAACTCCGGCTGTTCAGCAGTTCATTCGGTAAAATGAAGAATAAACGTACGGGCTGTACGGACAAGGAACTAGCCGAACAAACAGACAAACCAAGGAGACATAAAGCAGTTTAAAAGACAGAGAGGTCTGTCACAACTATTGGGACAGAATCTCCACACTGCTAAGAGTAATTGCAAGCACAAATGTTCTGGCCACTCCACAGACATTTCTGTTCCTGCTACCCTTAAATCACTTTTCTAAACACACAAACTTTAATCACCCACCTCCTAACAGCAGCTAACCAACTAATCCCAGTATTCTGGAAAAAAGGCAAACCCACAAACCATCAGAGATTGGATCCAAAGTGTGGAAAACATCATATGAGATATACACACTTATTTGGCAGCCATGGAGAACATTTCTCCAAACCAATATACTACTATAATTTGGCCGCTCACTGTGGAGCACCCTCTCCCCAAGACCTACATCCACTACCTCCGTGATTACCTACTATATTCCTTTTCCATATACCACTTTCCCATATGTATGGCAATAGTTCCTTAAGTTGACAAAACCACACATTCTTGTGTGATACCATGAGAGATCATTCTGATGGAGGTACATGGGGTACCCACACAGGACAGCATGCCAAGGATGACTAGCCTTACCAATAACTGCTATTTGCAATTATATCCCACATGCAATCATCTAATACCCCTGTAGTGGAGCTCCCTGTATCAAGGCTGGGTACGTCCATCAAGGATCGCTTTCTAACTGGAACCGTGGAAAACCTCACTGCTTCTGCCCAAATCACTGTGGCTTGTCTGGGGTCCTCCTGGAGCCTCTTCATCCTGGAACAGTGTAGGGGAACTAGCTCTATTCCCTCCCAGGGACTGGACGACACACACTCTAGTCCTTACAAGGACTTTCCCCGCTGAATCCTCCATGAGCTATAACAAGGTGCTGAGCAGTGATTAGCCCTTTCCCATCCTAGTAACTAGATGACACATAGTTCTGGGAGTTCAACTGATTTTAATGAGTAAACTCAGCCTTTTATGTACAGACGCCTGCAGGGGGTCTCCAAACCCAAGCCCCTCCCAGGAATCACTGGGCCTGGGAGATAATTGAGTTAAAGACTGGTAAGTTAATTATCTCCCAGGAACAGAGAACCCAACACAAAACATAAAAGTACCCAAAAACTTAATAAAAACATACAAACATAAAAGTACCCAAAAACTTAATGAAAACATACAACATCCCCAAATTGCCCTGATCTGAGCGCCTAAGTTGTCCAAATAGTGCTCAGATCCATGTAGTGTAGGAGAATCACCAAGGTGTCAAAGTTCTGACTGGCCGCACACGTGGTCTTATGCCCAAAATAGCTGCAGGGCTGGTCAGAACTTTCG